ACATATGCAACGGAGTGTGTGCAAACCATAAGGTGGTAATATACAGAGATAAAATATGCTAATAATCATGTCTGAGTACAAGAGAAAAAGTGAGCATCCATGCTATGGGCACTTTTCGAGGATGCTTGATGTTTCTCTTTCTCGCTGTCTTCATTATTTTTATTTTATTTTTTGTAAAATTTGTAGATTCAAATCACAACTGTTATCTCTAGGTGCTTTATAGTGGAAAGAAAAAAACCTAGAGTGTAACAGTGGAAATCACAACAACCAGACAAAAAAATAATCTATGATCAAGCACTGGGTGATGGTGGGAAGGAAAAACTCCCTTTTATCAGGAAGAAACCTCCAGCAGAAGCAGATTCAGATAGAAGCAACCATCTGCTGTGACATGTTGGGGGGTGAGGTTGAAGCGAAATGAAGAAAGGAGAACAGGGGGAGACAAGACGAAAGGGTCCATGTAAACACACAAAGAATAAATTGAGGTGAGTGGAGATGAAGTGCTCAGTACATCACAAGTCCTGCAGCAGCCTGAACCTATATCAGCATAACCAAGGGATGCTGGGGGTCATGTGATAAAACCAAAAGTATAAGCTTTATCAAAAGGCCAACGTTTAAAGTCTAATCTTAAGTCTGTCTACCAAATTCAAACCGGGAGCTAGCTCCACAGGAGAGGGGCCTGATAGCCGAAGGCTCAGCCTCCCATTCTGCTTTTAAATACAATATGAACCACAAAATGCTCTATTAAGATAATATAGTACTACTGGCTCTTTAAGATATGAGGAGGCCTGATTGAGGAAGATATGAGGGGACTTTCTACAGTAAATGGGATGGTTCTTATATAGCACTTTCACTCTACTTGAGCACTCAAAGCGCTTTATACAACATTATACATCACCCATTCATTCAAGCACTTTTTTCTATGCTTAAGCGCTTTCTGTCTAACATTCAAACACATTCACACTCAGATGGAAGCATTGGAGAGCAACTTGGGGTTAGTATCTCGCCCAAGGATATTTGGCATGCAGACTGGAGCAGCCAGGGATCAAACCGCCAACTTTCTGATTAGTAGATGACCTGCTCTACCACCTGAGCTACAGCCACCCCGAAAATGTGAGGAGAGTGATTTTAATTCAATTCTTGATTTAACCGGAAGCCAAAGAGAGACGCCACCATCTGGGAAATATCATCTTGCTGCAGCATTTTGGATCAACTGAAGGGTTTTCTGAACAATCTGGTAATATTGGATTATAATAGTACAGCTTGAATGTTCTGAATGCTTATTTAATTCACAAACTCGCTTTTCAGCATCACTTTGAAACATGATGTTTCTAAATTTAGTGATAATGAAGAGATAAAAGAATGCAGATGAAAGAAATCAACACATTTGTTTGATGTGACTCTAAGATTCCACCTACCAGTTATTTTGCTCTCACTTGTTCAAGACTTTGCATTTACTTTGAGCTGTTTTTACTCGTGAAATTGTGAGTGGTGCCAGGACATTGTTCCAATGTGTACAAAACACTCTGCTTCAGAGATTTTCTCTCACTTGTAAATACTCGGTTTGATTTTAGCAAGGTTGCTGCCTGGGTAGAGTGTGCAGAAGGCAGGGAGTAAGAAACACATTCGCTTTTTGCAAAATTACCTTTTATATTGTCACAAAGTGGACATTTCTACTTATAGTTTGCAGTAAATTAGTTTGGAAACAAATTAAACTTGTGTGTAATTACTTTGTAAATGCACTATGTTTGTCTGTGGCCATTTAAATAATAAAAATTCTGCCGCGTGTATTGATAAAGTAAACTGCAAATGAGGTCAGACTTGATATTTTCAAGAGTTAGAAACTAGTTTCATTTAGATTCTAATTGTTTAAGGAACTTTCCGTGAATGCCGGGAATAAAAGAAAATCACCTTCATTTGTAAAACAAGTATTTGGAAAATTGTTAGATAATATGTAGAGGTTAAATTAAGCAAACCCATCATTCCTTTGTGATTGATTTCTTTCTTTTTTTGGACACTGGGTATCAGATGTAAACCACTCCCACTTACAGAGATCTGATTGCTATGTGTCCTAAAGCCCTGTTGATGTTTCCCCCTTTGCGTTCCCACACTTTCTCCGTCTCTCTCAATGCATTTGATGGAATTAGTAATCTGTTCCCGTCTTCCCTCCTTTGCTCCCTCTCTTTGTCTGTCTCTTTGAGCAGTAAATGTTGACAAGGTCGATGAGTTAATTAAAAGTATCACCGCGGGGGCAGAAGCGGAGAGAGACACAGCCATACAAAGAACAGGTAGTGAGAAGAAAAGTCACAGAGGGACAGGGGAACAGCTAACAGATGGACAGCGAGTTGTGATGGGATAACATGTGAGGAAAAACAGAGACAAAGAGAAGTTGCCACTGCTATTCAGTGACTTGCCTGTCAGTTCACAGTGCATTATTTCACTGAACCCTGAGGGGAGCAAAGAAAACGCTAGCAAAAAACAAGTGCTAAAATGAGCAAAGCTGGCACAATTATGCATACTGTTTATATTTCATCTAGATATGCCAGAGTTCAAAAACTTTGCAGTGTGCTGCAAATGTTACTTTCATTCACATGCAGCATTAGTATATAATGATGTTGTAATAATTAATTGTTAGATGCGCCTGCTATATTTTTTTTAACTTTGACTTTCTCTTCCTATTCTCCACAGGGTTCATTAAATTTCCATCAAATCAAATCATTACTTTCCATATGTCCCTAAAATTATATGAAATTGTCCTCTGAGTACTCTTAACTGGAGGACACTAGATCCTTGTAGTCCTTTTTAATGCTGAAGGTGAAAAATTGCACTCATTACAGGACTCACTGGTAAGCATATGGCTACTAAACTGTTTGAAAGTATTTCTGCTTTCTAAAAGTTCACATCATGGCCATAATTGCAATGAAGTAAAAGCTGCATTCAAATCTGGATGGGGGATTAAATAAAGTAAATTCAGACAAGTTAGTTTTCATGTCTGACTGAACAATATGGGTGTCCAGAGGTGAATGACATAACTCAGAAAAACGTTGCACTGTAATTCAGGGCTCTGTAAATAAAACTGAATTGAAATGAACGGTATAATTGATGGTTAAGGTGCATGCTGGTGGGCAAATCGCACAATCAAGTGTTCTGTGCAACAAGATCAGTGTAGGCAGACAAAGTTAAGCTGAAAAGTATTTAGAATTGCAACTTTTACTTGCTTCATCTCTCAGTTAAAGAAGTGGTTTTAACAAAATTTGTAGCACAATGTTAAAAAACGTAGAGTGTTCCTGCACATAAACGGTGCTTTATCTTTCACACGAGTTTGTGTTATCCATGTGTTACATGTTCTTATGAGCTCTCATTGGCATGCATTCTGTGATTCACACCTTGGAGCAGAAGTCTCTTCAAAATACGCCGGGTGACCCAGTCTTCTTGTTGGGCCTGAGGATTGCTGAGAAAACTTGTGGCTACAAACAAGAGTCGAAAACACCACAATTTGCAGTGAAAGCGCCTGCAGCCTCTGAAACTAAAGACAGAGTTTCACAGTATGTCAAATTGGTGCTCTGTGAACGTTTTCCCTTGAGTCTGAGTTTTCCCCTATGTACACATCCTCTGATGCCCCGAGCCAGCTAAGGAAGAGAATATTTGCTACAAGCTACCCAAAATGTGAAGTGGTGACATTTAGGTGTCTTCAACATGACAAGATGTCCAAGTTGAAAATGCTCAATGTCTTGGTTGTTGCAAAACAATCATTGCTGCCCACTGGCTAGTTTTCCTTTTAAAGTTTTTCATTTTGAGAAGTCTTTTCTGGAAACATTCATGATGATACACCGCATTATGCAAAAAGACCCCTAAATTCATATAAAGGCTGAAACAGGGGCTTGAGAAAGTTTACACTCGGCCAACTTTCTCACCTTCATACAGCTGGCCGTGTATGCGACGGCCATGAATGTTGTTTGAATGTTGAAAGGTTCAGAGATTGTACTCTCCCATCCAATTTTGTCTTTGGAAATATGTGGCGGTAGAGACTGTTTGAACACCTATGAAGTATTTCTGATGGAGTATACTGGCTCTCTAAGCAATCAGTGCTCTGCTCTTTCATTTGCTGGATGCCTGGTACCACACTGCTCACCTGAAAGCCATGCGCTCACTTGCTTCTACTGCTGTTTTCATTTCATTTCATAGCCTAGAATGCACATGGAGTGTCTGAGTCTGCCTTTCCCTATGAGGAAAATGACTATTGTCACCTCCCCATTCTCAGCCTTGCCGAGCCTGATGTTGTAAAAAGAGAAAATGGATTGTTCTGTAAAAGCCAAACACAAACATTATACATAAATACATTTGCAAATGATCCATCCCATGTTAGATACTCAGTGTGTACTGCACTTAGAATGAGAACAGCACAACAAAACTATTAAATTTTAATGAAATGTCCCTTAAACAAAGCCTGATGACAGCTTAAAATTCCTTTTATATTAAACAAATTCTCTGGATTGTTGGCTCTGGATATTTGTTGCAGCAAGTTGAATGCAAAATTTATGCCTCGGAGTATTTCTCAGACAGGCAGCCTGATGAGGCTCGGTTGTTAGGTTTTAGTTATCGTTTAGAATCTTGTTTTCTTCCAGTTTTATTTATTGCTGTTACTTATATAGCAAATTCTGCTGCAGTGTATATTACCACGTGTTGCTTTACCCCCTCACCCACAGAGACACGCATTTTACAGTGATATTTGCAATGTTTAACATTGCTGCAATTTAATCTATCTTGGCCTGAGGGGTCAATAGACAAACGCTGCTAATTTCAGACCCACATTTCAGTGTTCAGTCATATGGAGTGATTATTGTCTTCAGACTAGCAGAGGCTCTTTCACACATGGCAGTAACTCCCATCCTCTTGTCTCTTCTGTGGATTCTCGTATTCGCATGTGATACTTTAATCCACTGTTCTACTAAGTCATGTATGACACTGTGCAGTAACACTGTGGGATTTAATGGAAATAATCCAGTCTGTCTCTCTCCTCTTTCTCCATTCAGTTTAGCAGAAGAGTTGTATCAGAAAGTCCAAAGACTCTTTGGTAAACCGCATCAGGCCACTGAAGACCTCAAGGCAGAGGTGACAATTAATTTTACTTATTTGTCTTCAGTTTTACTAAATGAATGGCTTAACACCTCCTTATCTGCTTTCTAAGATAAAAGAGAAGCTTTCGGACCATGAGGAGAAGCTCAGGGATGCCCATGGTCTGCTCATCTTTGCCCAGGGACAGACAAGTCTGGCTGGCTCACTGGCTTACCAAAACCAAGCTAACCTCACAGCCCTGGAGGTACAAGCACGAGTTTACATTGTGACCTCGTGACCAAACTGTGTGTTTTGTGTATAACTGATATTTTGAGATGTCAGTCAGTTAAATGTTGTCATAATGTGGCCTCTTTAACTATCACATTGACAGTAGATTCTGTAAAAACACCCTTCTGTTGGCATTATAATTACTTGTCATTGTATTTGCCGTATACTCTAAAGGGCTGAAGCTGCAGTATTTCATAAAAATCGACTCTGAACCTGAAGCATCTACATGAACACTGCTGTGTGATGTCTTTGTTACTCCCCATTTGCTCTGTACTTTTTACTGTGGCCTGGATAGCTACAGAAAAGAGCACCAAAATGACTGTTTGCACACTTTTGTACCCTTCCATGCACTTGAGAGAGACCAGTGCACAAATTTATGCTCATACCAATAAGCATGTTCCAGTCTTTAAGAAGTTGGGGCGTGAGTCACAAAGTTAAAGGCACAAGGCCACACGTTACCCAACGTCTGATAGTAACGATAATGTTTTAAGTGCATTTTACTTCTGACTTTACACATAAGACAGTTAAATCTTTTAGTTTCTGTCTCCTAAACTGAAAAAAACTATAAAAATGCTTAATAATCCCAAAGACTGAAATTCACCATCTATAAATCATTGACGCCACTTAATCTTATTTTGTTGAGAAGCCTTTTGCATGTGATTAATCATCAAGAAGAGCTTAGATGCAGCATAACCTCTAACAGAAAAAAAAACAACAAACATTTATTGAATAGATTATCCTACATATCCTACAGGAAAGACTATATTATATACAGTCTTCTATCTCTGACACACTCAATCAATATAGTCTGACAGCCATTTCATTAAATGTACCTTGCTAGTTACGGCTCACTACCCCAGATTCAACAAGGTCCCAGAAACACTGCTTAGAGATTTTGGTCCATATCGACCCAATGGCATCACACAGCTGCTGCAGAATTGCCAGCTGCACATCCATGATGTAAATCTCCTAGTCCACCACATCGCAGAGGTTCTCTGTTGGATTGAGATCTGGTGACTGTGGAGGTCATTAAGCTCATTGTGATGAAACCAGCCTGAGATGATTTGGGTTTTGCGACATAGCACATTATCCAACTGGAAGCAGCCATCAGAATGTGGCTACACTGGGGTAAAGAGATGGACTTGACCTGCAACAATATTCGGGGAGGCTGGACTGTTTGAATGATGCTCAGTTGGTACTAAGAGGCTCAAAGTGTGTCTACAACATACCCCCACACACATTACACCACCACCACCAGCCTCAACCAGTGGTGTAAGGCCAGATGGATCCATGCTTTCATGTTTTTACCACCAACTCCTGACCCCACCATCTGAATCTGGTCCTGTTTTCTTTTAATACAGAGGAAGCGATCTGCAGTCAGTGGAGTGAAACAGGAAGCACAGAAGGTTCTTAGAGAAGGAGAACGTCTACTGGGTGAAGCGAACCAGCTTTCTGACAACGTCAACAAAGAGATCGAGGTACGGAAATAAACCTTTCGTACTCTGTAACACTCTGTCCACTCTAGAATATTCTGCCTCAGGTTAGTTGTATTGCTTTTGTCTTCAAGAAAGACAAATTTCAGTTCGGCACATATAATGTTATTGTTATGTTTTATTAGCATTAAAAGTCGCTTTTATGTAGATCTGAGTCTCTGTTCTCTGTTCATAGGACTTGGAGGAAATGGCGAGTGAGCTCGGTGCTCTTCATGGCCGGCTGGATGACAGAGTCAGTCACCTCACTTATGGTTTGAGCGATGGTCGCCTGGCTTATCGCGTGCAGGATGCAGAGGAACATGCCAGGCAACTTAACGACTCTGCAGCAATTTTAGATGGGTAAACAGAGTATACTTTTACAGTACAGAAAAGCACACACGTAGGCCCAGGTAGTATTTACTTCAGGCCGAGTGTGATTTTAAAACGGGTTCAAGTTTTTTTTAATAACATTTGCTGGTTACAGCTTTTTATTCAGTTTCATGTTACTGTAAGTTAAATATCCAAATTGACTCTTAAGCGCTAAAAGCATACCATCATCAACTGCACGCTCAGCTTCACAGTTCAGTTAAGCTGTAATATATTATGCTGAAGTCCACCCAAAATCCAACTAATGGCAGTAAATGTTGAGACATGAAAAGTTCTGGAAATTCTCGTTATAACTTCCAGTTTAATTTAACTGCTTACCAAAGTGTGTATAACAAATAGAACAGGAAATCAATGTCCATTTCTTCTCTCCCCCCCCCCCTCTTCACAGTATTTTGGCTGAAGCTAAAAACCTTTCCTTCAATGCGACAGCCGCCTTCAATGCCTACAGTAACATTAAAGCGAATGTTGATGCAGCAGAGAAGGAAGCAAAGGCAGCCAAACAGAGGGCGAGCGAGGCGCTGGCACTGGTAAGAGGACGTGCACTGCCATGTATGGAAACACATGCTGTATGTAACTCGCCCTGTATTCAGCTACTGTAGATACCAAGCACAAGCAGTTTAGCAATCCGGACCATGAAAGTGTTCTCTCAGCACAAAAGATAGTGTGTGTGTGTTTGTGTGTGTGTCGCATGCAGTAGCAGTAATGTAAGCTTGTGCTCTCCATTAGTCATGGCTGAGGGATCAAAGCACAGCTCTGTCCCTCTTCTTCCTTCCCTCTCTTTCTCATTATCATGACTCACACCTGAATTCTTCCTTTTTCCTTCTTTTATTTTTTAATTTGTCTCGTTTCCTATTCCCTTTCTTTTTTTCCCTATTTTTTTCTTTTTCCCTCACATGTTTTACTTTTTTTTTAAACATTCGCCTTCATCTTTGATTTTTTTTCTCCATGTACTTCCTCTTCTCTCCTTTTTCACTTTAATTTCCTCTGAGCCAGTTCATTCGTCTGACCGTCATTCTGCTGATACTTTACCCTTCTCTTGTTGACTCATGCGGCTCGTTTGCCTTTATTTTTTCATTTCCTTTGGCAAGTAATATGTAAAGGGCTAAAAGTGAAAAGCAAAGGGATGAAAAAATGATTCAAAGGGTGGAACACGGAGAAACAAAGTGATGAATAGTTAAGTAATTTGAATCCCTTTCTTAGAGGATCATTTAGCAATGTGAAGTAGTTATGCTTTGATCTTACAGTCGGTACCTGTGTATGCAGATTACTGCACCTTTGCATTTTTTTTTTTTTAATTTGTGTGTGAACCCAAAAATACTTTATTCTGAGAGCATTTTAAGTCACACAATTTGCACTGTTGCTCCTTGTATGCAGGCTTTAGGTCCAGATATCCCAGTAAAGGAAGCAGCTCGAGATGCCCTGCAGAAGAGTCATGTACTGTTGGATCAAGCTAAACAACTTCAAAATGAGGTCCAAGGTACTGTCGGTGTATGTGTATCCAGAATGTACTATATATAATGCAAGAAATAGGTTCCTTATACAATATAAACAAACCTTCCAATTTTAGAGCAGTGTATCTGATATCACTGTCGTCCTACATTTGCCTCTCTATGCCTTTTTCTCAGTCACTCTTTCCCATTAGGGAGGTGAGGGAAGTGATTTCATTAGCAGGCGGCCTTGGCTTCAAATCAAACCACCATCATCATTTACTTTGTGTGTGTGTGTGTAGAGAATGCAGCTGGTGTGGCCGGGCTGAAGGGCAGAGTTAAAGCAGCAAAAGACAAAACCAAAGACCTGCTGAAAGCTGTCAATGGAACCATGGCAACGCTCAACGCCATCCCCAATGGTATGATTGCATCATTGTGTGTGTGTGTGTGGGGCTGTGCATGCACACACAAGTGTGGGCGAAAGATAAAGAGAGAGTGGATCAATATCAGTGTGTGGATAGAGGTCAGTTGCTCGGGTAAACTCAACTTGACACATGTCAGTACTCACAGATACGCACTCGGAAATGCACTGCGGCGATAGCAAAGTTACTGAACTGAAGTGTTACACATGTTTGTGTTTGGATCGACACACAGAAAGCTCTCAAATGTAGCAATAGTAACAGTTCAACATGGAAACATTTGCCTTAAATATAAATGAATATGAATAATAAAGAGATTTTTACAGGATTTCCCTAGTGTGATGTCACCGTCCGCTTAGAGCAAATATTCAGCGTGATACTTTTATAGTTTCAGTCTCAAACAATAAAATCTGTTCATAGACTGACCCTATGCAAGTGTTGTATCAAAACAAGCTGTGTTTTTATTCTAGAGACTTCTGGTCACGTCCAGCATGATCAGAGCAGGGATTCACATTTAATCATCCAAGTTTCACTTTCTTTTAATCTGATGTCTAAAAACGATAATCCTTGATACTAAGTGATGAATATGTAAAATTATTGTGCAGCGTGAACTGAGAGAGCATATATCTGTGTGCATGCGTGCGTGTGTATGTATGTGATGCCATAATCGAACCAAATTAATGCCAGACATTTGCTTTGTGGAACTTACAGAGTCCAGATCTGACCTAAGAGCTATCTCGTTATTTCTTTAATAAAACATAAAAATGATAGTAAATAAACTGAACAGTAAAGTATATATTTGTTTAAAAATTTGGGTTTGCACAACATCAATGTAAATTATGGCAGTTACAGTACACATCTTTTATGTTTCATTCTTTGACAGACACAGCAGCTAGGCTAGCAGCCACAAAGGCTGTAGCAGCGGATGCTAACGCCACAGCCATTGACGTCCTGGAGCGTCTTGGAGATTTGAACCTGCGACTTGGTGGACTAGAGCGCAACTACACTGATCTGAAGGAGACTGTCAGCGAAGCCAATCAGATGATCCAGGACCCTGAGAAAAACAGTAAAGTGCTTTTCTTTTGGTAGTTAGTGTGCATAGTCTAATATTAGTAGGCAGGTAGTAACTAATTACTCTTTCTTTACTCTGAAAAGAGTGAGCTTTTGAACATTTTTGCAACTCTTACATCCTAATTTGATAAATTAATAACAAAATGTTGAAAATGATCAACTGGAACATTTCCAAACTTTTATCTTGTTGTTGTCTCAGATCTATATAAATTCGAAATTGAAATTTGATATATTTCTCTCTGTTTCTCTTTTTTCAATCCCCACAGCAATCAGTATGTATATCTCACTTACTTTAATTTGAGCACGTATTATACGTGGTGCACCAATACCATATTTTAATTGCAATATCTCACATATTTGTTTTGCTTAAATACAACAAATCACAGAGTAGACACTGTATTGAGTCAGCGCGCTCTTCAGTCAGTATCGCCTATGGCGGCATAGGCTGATTTCGACAGCAGTATTGGAGCACCACCCATTAATATTGTGATTATCTTTAATAGCTACATGGTAAACAATAGTTGCTTCTAATAAAGCCTCCATTCGGCATGAGCATGAGAGCTCTGCACACTGCAAGGCATAGCACTTCTTTTTTAATTTTTATGTCTTCTCTTTATTTTTATCTTTCCTGGATCTTAAGCTGATACAATTTCTCCAAGTAAATAAATTAGAAGCAGTTCTCTTTGAATGCCGAGTTACACTAATTGTTTGGCTCTTACTGGCTTTGCCATCTTTCTGTCTCTTCCTCCACATTTCTCCTCCTCCAGTGATTTCCTCATCTACCATTATTTCGCTTCGTCTTCTGCAAGCTTTCTCTTTTTCTCAGCTGCAGTACTGTACCGAATAGTATCATGATAACAACTATGGTAGTGTTCTGTATCGTTGCTGTATTTGATCTCTCTCTACCTTCAGTTCATGCTGCAGGGGCAAAAGTGAAGGATTTGGAGGACGAAGCTGACAGGCTGTTGGAGAAGCTGCAACCAATCAAAAAGCTACAGGACAATTTGAGGCGCAACATCTCTCAAATAAAGGAACTGATTAACCAGGCCAGGAAACAAGCTAATTCAGTAAGTTGTTGACACACTGCCATGTACAACTCCTACTCATAGTTGTAGGAGATCACATTTTATAGTAGTTTAATGTATAATAAATGTCAGCAAGTTTGCATTTATTTTATAAGATCTTGTGCAAGATTTATTATGATTTATTTGAACTTCCAGACGCATTTGTGGCTGGCTAACACTTCGACAGGTTGACCAGGAGACAGTTGGACTGAATGTGTTTACATGTACGAGGCCCAGCCGTGGGTGTAGTAGGCTTGGTTTCTTTTGATGGCTTTCTTCCACCTCACCCCTGGGAGCTATTTAGAAACATGTCGGTGCCCAGCGGTTGGTTAAAACTTTGTTGCAGGACTATATATAGCATAATAATTCAGGCATAATCTGCCTGCATTTATAAATTAGATATCAGTCTATCTGAGACTGATTGCTCTCAGTCCAAGTTGGACTTGGAGGCAAACACCAGATGTTTTTTTTTAAAATACTTGTGTTTTATTATACAATATATAGGATAAATTCAAACTATAATCGAAGATTCCTTTTTGTGGAAACATTCTTAATTCCTTCACTCTTTCTTCCTGTTTACAGATCAAAGTATCAGTGTCTTCTGGAGGTGACTGCCTCCGTAGTTACCGCCCTGACATCCGAAAGGGGAGGTATAATACCATCATTCTTCATGTCAAAACCACCACACCTGACAACCTGCTATTCTACCTGGGATCAGCCAAATATGTAAGTACATCTCAGAAAAACACAGGAGCATAAAATCAAAAGTAGTTTGAACTTGTACAGAACTAGAACACATATATAGTATTTCATAAAATCAAAGCAAATAAAAGAAAAAACATAACTTTAATTTATTGGTGATGAAATCTATTGCCTTAAAAATGTGTCTTTATGTCACAATTTAAATATGAAAATGTTAATTTTTAAAAAAAATGTTTCATATCGATGCATTGTTCTCATTTAATTTAACACTCAGGTGCTATGTAGAGCACCATAACATATTTTTTTTCTCTTGAAGCATTCTCGTGTACCATTAGTCTTGCATTAAAAAGCACACACACTTGTCTCTTTCCCATAAACCGGCCCTCTCACACACCTTACAGGTATTCCCAAAGTGGCTTGTCTAATATGTGAATAACTAACACACATTGACACATACTTGCAGGCACCCTATAAACATAGCACTAATTTAAGTCACCATGCTACTCCCAAGGTGTGCATACGTGTGGGTTTGGTTGTAAACACGTGTGTATCTTGATGAGCAGCACCAATTAACAACAGGTTTATGTTGCCATGTACTTTAGCCTGATTTCCCCTGAGAAATCTTCACTGCATCTGACTGGAAAGTGTGGAACATTCATATGTGTGTGTTTGTGTGTCTCTACTATTTTCTGATGGTGAATAATTCAGTTTGTATAGTAATTTTGTGTGTGTGCATGCACGCCTCTTACATTTTTCTTATAGCGTGTAATACTAGTTGAATAGTAACGATGCTGCCCTGTGATCTCTACTAATGAATAATCGGCATTACCCTGGGGAGACCGGAAAGATTAGTGCATGCACTTTTGTGTCTGTGTATGCGTGTCATTTGTGTCTTCAAATGTGACCCCCTGATAATCTCTAATTGCGCATAATAATATATGAATTATAATTCTTGGTATGCACTTCAGCTGCAACATGAAGATGAGAGCATATGCTGAAAGTTCACTTTTTATTTTTTTTTCATACTCATACATATGTAATAAGAGCATTAATCAAAATACAGCAAGATCCAGTAAAAATCCACTTACAAGGACAGATGGAGAAAAGGAAAGCTTTTGTAGCCCCAGAATAGATCAGAACTGGGTATAAAAGTACTTCACTGTTCAATCATTCACATTTTAGTACATAAAACTGCTGCATAACTCCTGAATTGTGTCATCTTAAAAGCATAGACTGTATATAAAAGACACCTGTATCGAGGGAAAAGTAAAGCCACTGCCCATCACTTTTTACCTTACAGTTTGCCACTAATGGACATTGTTGGCTTTGGTGTCATAGGTCACTCTATGCTAGGACATTTCCAACAACGTTATGTAGGTAGTTGCTTCAGTTGCTCATAGTTGAACTCTGTAGCTGCTTGCACCACATGCCAGCTGTTTTGTGGTCGAAACAAGTTGCTCAATTTCACCGGCATACTGTGGTCTTATCATGCATAACTGCAAGCCTGTATATAGCTTACATGTTATTTCTCTTGTAAATCATTTTAACATGGGTACCTTTATTGGCTTCACCACAGATCCCAGCTTGCTAACGAGCTAAAGCATGATTGTTGGTTGTTCATTTCTAAACAAAAAGCAGTATAAATATTACCAGTGCACATTACGTTGTTATTTGCAGAATTCTAGTAGATAAATGATTCCACATTCACAAAGGTGAGAGGTGTACCACATAACCTCTGAGATTTGTGTGGTCTGATAATCACTTTGAATATATTGTTTGAATTAAAGCCTAAATCTGAGAACAATGCAGATTTTTATAACGCATGCAAAACTATAGAGAATCTGATTACATTGGCCGCATCTGGAAAAGGTTTTGGATAAATTGGAAGAATGCTTGAGATTTATTATTAAATTTAAAAAATATATTCTTGCAATAAAATTACAACCTTTAAACTACCTTTACTGTCCTCCAAACCCTTTTGTTTAAAAAAACAAAGTGGTTAGCAGTGTCACCTCAAAGCAGGAGGGTCGTGGGTTTGAATCCACCAATTTGCTGGGGCCTTTCTATGTGAGGTTTGCGTATTCTCCCTGTCACTGTCAGGGTTCCTTCTGGGTATTCTGACTTCCTATTACCATGTTAGAACAATTGGAGAATGGGTGAAAACTGGCCATAGGTATGAATATGAGCACAAATGGTTTTCCCTACCTCTCACCCTATGACACCTGGAATATGCTTCAGAATCACCGTGACCCTGAACACTATATATCCCGAGTTTTCTCCAAGTATTTTTGAATGTTTCATAAACTGTCAACTTATTCATGTGCATTACCCACAATTACAAAATCAGTATCTGTATTCATCTTGTTAAGCGGATAAATCAGCACTAAGCACAGTAACCTTAACCTAAAATAAATCACAACAATGATTTTTTGCAGTTTATTCAGCATGTGTCTACTTTGTCTCAGGTTGATTTCTTGGCATTGGAGATGCGCAAGGGGAAGGTGAATTTCCTTTGGGATGTGGGTTCAGGTGTGGGGAGGGTCGAATATCCCCATCACACCATCCATGATGGAAACTGGCATAGGATCGAGGCGTCTCGGTAAGAAGTGCGCACTCATTCATGTGTATGAAAATGTGCTGTACCTTTGACACAATAATAATAATAATAAGAAGAAGTAGAAGAAGAAGAAGAAGAAGAAAACATGCGTACACCCACACACAATCACAAAGTGAGTTTACAAGAAAGGGGTATAACAAAAGAAAGTTACTGTACTTATTTATACATGTCTGTATAGATGTATATAGCTAATTCGTTTTATACATTTCTTAATATATTTTTTTGTCTGTGATCCCGTCTAACCACAAGCAACAGTTGTAACCGACAGTTGTTGCAGAAATAAACCAACAGTTACCTAAGGACATCTTCTCATTCGTGCTACTGTGGAAAACGCACTGTTTCACTTGGGAAATCAAGAGATTGCAGGATGTCAGCCTGTGGCACATCATTGCATAGATACAGTGTAATCTAACAAACTAGTTTTCTCTGTGAAAGCTACAGCGATGTTTTATGCAAGACCATCTAACATCAGGCCAATTCACACAAAGGAGATGGCCCATTTGCACCATGTATTTCCATCTGAGAAATTTCCCAAAGGTGTCTTCCAGTGGAATCACGCAGACTATCGGTCTTAAGTGTTCCCCTACACAATGTAGAAATCTTGACTTTAAACTCCAAGGTGGCCGGCTGATTTTTGCCATACATCTCAGAGTTTTCACTGCAACAAAACTGGCTCCACACTCTGTTTCTATCATTCTTCTTTAGCACCAAGAGTTTATAAAAACTGATTCCAAATGGCTTCAGTCATAACAAATCTCTTCCAGGCAGTACAGAATGCCAAGCAAAAAGACAACAAACCCTCTTCTCATTCTCTCAATACAGCAATGGGTTGAATGGTACCATATCAGTATATCCTCTGGAAGGCTCTATGGCTGGTATGATGCCGACCCCGGCCAGTGCCAACTCGCCCACGGCCTTCACAATCTTGGATGTAGACCAGAACGCCTACCTGTTTGTGGGAGGGATATTCGGCTCTGTCAAGGTGCCTGTCTGTCTGTCTCAAAACATGAAGAACCTGTCTTCCTACTGTGTTTTCTCATTATTATCTTTTTTCTGTTTGTCTTTTAGAAAGCAGAGACAGTAAGAACAAATACTTTCACAGGCTGCATGGGGGAAACCTACCTGGATGGTAAACCTATTGGATTGTGGAACTACAGAGAGAGAGAGGGAGACTGTAAGGGATGTGTCGTCAGGTATACAGTCACAATTTAATTAGAAGTTAATTATTTTATTCTTCCTTACTGATATTGATAGTGTAGTCTTTTTATTACTCCCAGTTGTATCCCTAATCGTAGATATGTAAAGAACATTTTATACAGGAACTAGGATTTATTTATAAAAACAGCTGTCTTTTGCAGATATTCTGGTTGGTCAAATATTCAAGTGAGCGTTTCATTGTCTCGCCTACTTTGCATTTAATTATTTGTGACCTTTCAAACTCAGGCAGTTGGACAGGAAACAAAGCAGTTGTAAATTGGTCCCTTTTTGTAGCCCCCAGCGTTCCCACGGTGAAGGGACCGTTCAACTGGATGGAGAAGGCTACGCTGCAGTGGGACGACCCACCAGGTGGAACCCAAATGTCTCCACCATCACTTTCAAGTTCCGCACGTTCTCCTCTGATGCTCTGCTCATGTATATGGCAGCTGAAGACATGGTATGTGTTTAATATGGTATTAACACCATGATGGAGACAGATATTTTGTTTATTTTGTAAGTTGTGAGGCTTTTTTAAATTTATTTAGACAGTACAAATACTGTAAAAAGTACATCAAACAATCAAACAGGTGTCAAGCTCTTACTGCTTGTGTCTTAAGACAATTAAAAAGAAAACATTACAGTTCTCTTTATGTGACATTAAGAATAGTGTCCAGAATCTGCTGTTTTATTGAGCAGTCAAGATTTGATTAATTAATAAAATAATTTTAACCATTTTCTTCAGTCTAGTCCATATTGGGACCCTTTGCAGTATATTTTACACCGTGTTGTTAAATCCTATCTTTTCAGACTCGTGCTGTTATTGATTTGTACTGAATTTGAAACGCCAGAGTGTCACAGCAGTCTCTCCCTGTTTGATGCTCTCTGCAGAAGGACTTCATGTCTCTGGAGCTGTCAGAGGGTAAAGTGAAGGTTAACTTTGACCTTGGATCTGGAGTTGGAAGTGCCAACTCATCTAAGCGCCATAATGATGGCCACTGGAAATCCCTCACCATGTCGAGGAACAAGAAACTATGTAAGCCTTCTTATATAACCTGTGCTGTGAATCAATGGAACAGATAAATTAGAGGGTATACATATACAATCTCTCCGTGTTCTGTTGCTGATAATGTATCTTCAACTCTTAACAAAGCCACGGTGTCCATAGTAGACGTTGACAGCAGTGACGAGGAAAAGATTGTGGCCACATCTCTGGGGTCAGCTACTGGTCTGAACCTTAAGGAGCACCAGAAAATCTATTTTGGAGGTCTGCCAACGATTGGAAATTACAGGTACGCATAAAGTGCTGTAATTTACGTTGGTTCAGTTTATAAAAGCTTACATGATATTCTGTGTGAGAGCTGCATATTGTTTTGCATTTGATTTACAGAAATGCTCTTTAATATTTTTTAATGTTTCATTTGCGTTAATTCATATAGTTTCACACCTGAATCAGCTGTCTGACACTGGCTATCAAACCTCATAGCAGAGTGAATTAAATGGCATAAACATTAAAAACAACTTGACCAGTTCAATGATCAAAGTAAAGATGGCAAGTTGAATTGAAGGTTTAGTTTAAGAATGTTAACATGTTTACCATATGGTTGTGTGTTTGCTAATGCGTGAATGTCATGTTCCTTCTTAACAGCATCGCAGCCAGGTAAATGAATGAATGAATAAATAAATAAATTTTATAATCAAACACAATAAAAATAAACTGTATTCACTATTGAGCTGTGCATGAGGCTGACCTGCTGATAATGCTGCACAGCCCACACTGAATGTACGTTTGTTTGTTGGCTGGACTCTCAGAAATCACTTTTTCTATCCTTTGTTAATCTGAATTTGACGTTTGTTCAACAACATTTTGGTGGAATAACTCATATGAATAACTCCCTTCCATATTTTATTGGCATATTCAGTAGATTTAGATGTTAATCTACTTCCTGACATTTTTGAGATTGATGGGTAACTTAAAAAAAGTGTATTATGCTGCTAAAAGAATGTTTATTGCAGTCGTTGACAAGGATTATCATATGCTGGATATTTTTTAAGAACTTTCTCTTGAATAACAGATACTCATCTTGAAATGAGTAATACAGAAAAATATCCCAGTGCATTTGTATGGACAAACGACATATTTCGATTATTCTTGTTGATGTTTAGGCATCACTCTGCTTGCGAATTCACTGCTGCAGTAATTCACTTCTACAAGAGCAGACTGACCAATATTATGATTATTTAATACTCCAAATTAAAACTGTCTTACACTTCATATAGGTCAGAGGTCATTCTGAAGAGGTATGCGGGCTGTCTTCGGGACATTGAAATCTCCAGAACGCCATATAACCTTCTGAGTAGCTCAGATTATACTGGTGTGACTAAAGGATGTAATGTAGAGGTAAGTGAGCTTTTATGAAACATCCCGTATGATTGTTGACCCTCTGGTTACAGTTAGGGATGCACCGATACTGGTATCGGGTAGGGGGGCCGATACTGTAAAATGTGTGTGTACTCATACTCGTAAAAGTTAACCGATACCATGAAACGATACTAACTTATTTCATTAATCAGAGGGTGGCTTGTCATTTCTGTTGTAGTTTTTTAGATTGGCCACTAGGGGGACATCCCGCGCTAAACAGGCACAGGTTTAGGAGAGTGAGACTGGCGGCTCCATATAAAAAAGAGAAACTGGAGGCTGCTGTAGCTAGGCTAAACAAAATGTCAGCAGTGTGGACCGGAACAGCCAACTTTAACTCGGGTTTTGGAAAAGCGAAGAAAAATGTCAAGAGAAAATCCAC